GACGAGTTGCTACAGATCAATGGTTTCATGACGGCGGGAATGTCCTATCGTCGTGCAGCGGAAATAATCCGGGCAAGTGGCAACATGATTCGCCTTGGCGTGCGCCGCTCCCTCCTGCCCACTAGCGAGGTAAAGAATTTTGCTGCGCCGTCGCAGCCACATCGACCTCTACTCTCCTTCGCTCGCTTCGGTCCACTGCCGCCTACACCGTCTTCAGCCCCCGTGGTACCTCAGCTACCACTGTCGCCTCCGCTACCACCGCCAAATCTCCGCTCGCCGCAGTTCTCTACCCCTTCATCCGTGCACAAATAGTCCATTGGATCCTGTCCTCTACTCTCCTTGAGTAGGTGCCGCCGCCTCTCTATCCCATGCTTCATTCTCGTGTTGCAGTCTTCACGCCTTCGGTTTGTTCTATGTGCCTTCTTATACCAATCATTCTGGTTTTATTTCCCATCTGAAAGAGCACATCAATTTATATTGATCACTAGAATTCGTTTAATCATACATCAATCAAGAGCATTTATAGCATGCAAATGATATGCACATTCGCCCTGTTTACCACAGAGAACACAGATTCAATATCATATTTATTATGCTTTTCGAAGCTTGTTAGCGGCGAACAGATCGCTTTTCGCAGAGTCCATGGAAGGCTGCAATATCTAGAAGATTCAAAGCGATTTACCTAGTGCAATGGATGGAAGTTTAGAGATAGCTCCTGTGAAGTAAACAGCATATTGGTAACCGGTCAGCTCGTAATAATCCCAAACAGTTCATTGGTGTTTCGAGTCTTATGCGATGAGGAATTCTCCGGAATCCAAACATCTAGTCTGTTTTGATCCCATATATCATTTATATCATATAATTGTGAAAACCACACCTGCATTACCGTTTTAAATAATTTATACATGTCCTAGCAAATTCATTTTTATTTTTAAACATTTATTAAAATGAATGTAGGCTGAAGCTAGTCTGAGAACAACTATTATTTTGTAGTTCCTGATTGGCAGTTGAATTGGGCAGTTTGGTACTGCAAACTGTTGCCTCGTGGTGTGGTGGTTGGTGTTCCTCTGAGTTCCCAGTAGTAGGCAATGCGCTAAATTGTCAGTTTTAGTCAGTGGTGGAGTTAGCTTCCATGGATTTATCCCTCACCCTTAAGTACTCAAACGCCATTCTGGGAACGGGATATTCTTAAGTATTTTAAGGAAACGACCTCAGATTTTTCATCGAGTCAATCTTTGCATCTCCAGTGGTCCAATAACTGGTCTGCAAACTGACCCACGCTCATCCCTGGCAAGTTTTGGCTCCCCACCATCCTACTAACACCCTTAACATCATCGTAATTAACCTTATTATAATCGTTTTGCTTCCATTTTGTGATTTGTTTGCATGTTAAGGATTAGCTGAATGCATGACACGCATGATACGCTAGTTTTATGTAATGCGAAGCATGAAGTCGGATAATCTTGGGGTGAATTGAACCCCAGAACGCTCGCAAATGATCCGAGGTAAGCTTATTGGCAAATAAATCTGCTTTTAAGGAAATATGCCCAATATAATGCTATAAAGGAATAATTTTACAATTTGTGGAATGAAAAATCTTGAAAAATAGATAAATTAATTTTCTTTTTTTCACAAAGAAGAATTTTACTTTGTGCTTGATGCTCGAATCCGCTTTGCCATTGGGATACTAATAGATGACTTTACTGAACTTCCATTGAATACAACTCTCCGTCCGTGTAGTTTAATGACTAACAGAAGCCAACCTCAAAAACAGCTTACCTGGCCTTCTGACACGTTTCGGTTCCTCACTTTTAATCAAGAGCAATCAAATTTATTGAGAAGAATGGCACTTAAATCGTAGATGTAACATCAGCGATAAAGGAATCACATATGGATCAATGCAGGCATATAATGAATAAAATACAGCTTTATTTGATTTGCCATTCTTAGTCCCGTTGTTTCAAGATTTTAGGATAAGGTCGGCTCAATATACATCCTTAAGAAGCTCGAGATTCTATAAATGAATAAATAAGGAATAAAATAATTTTATGCTGGCGTAAAATTTGCTTCTCTTGGTACACTAAACTAAAATAGGCACTGATTTTGCATGCAAAGCACCTCATTGCACATCGTTCGGCATGGAGAGTGGCGTAAAAAATCCCAGTAATTTTCATGGAGTTAATGAACAAATTGATTTGAGGTAGATGGACACCAGATAAAAGGACAAATTGATAAACGAGAAATTTCATGCCTAGAAGAATGCCTAAATGAGCTGGTATTGGCATATTTGGGTGCTTTGCCATCAAATCACCAATGAATGCAAAACGCACACTTATTTTGGTCTACCCCAGTCCTGAACATTACAGCTTTGATTGTCCGAGCTAGTTTCTGAAGGTTGGATTCGCTTAATCAAACTAGGATCATAATAAACTCCCTACAAGTAGTTGTGCCAGAAGCATTCTAATGATCGTCTTCCCCACAAACTTCACTTTCATCATTTCTTGTTCTTCCCTAGCGTAAAATGCAGGTATTTAGAAGAAACGAATCTTAGAACAAAATGGCCAACTGTCCCAGTAACAAAAAATATCATTAAAAGTACTCACTTTAAAAACGGTCGCGGAAGTTCTGCACCTAGATTTAAAAAAAGGCAATGCTTACGGCTATGGTCTCAATGGCATAAGTATGGTGCAGTTGATTTGGCATAAAGTCAGTGCTTTTTTGTAACTACAGAAGACAGCCGCGCAACGTACGCGGCCAAAAATGTGGCCTTATAAAAAGGTATCTGTGTGCTTAATGATGCGACAAATTCTTAAGATTTCTGGAAGGACCTAGCGCACTGAAACCACATGAATACAACTAATTAGCCAAGTGTGCATGAGAACATTTTTACTAAGTGCATGTCGCATCGCCTGTGACGATAATTGATTCCCATAAAAGGCATGACAATAAGGACAGAAATTTTTAAGATCTTGCTCTTGTATTTGGCGATACCGCTAAAGTACTCCAACTATTTAACTCCGCAGA